TAGTATGAATCATCATAGGCCCAATAGCCTTCATTCCAGGTTTGATCATCGGCCCAATAGCCGTCATAGTTTTCATTCCATTCATCTTCTTGCCATTCATCTTCATAATCTTCTTCACTCACCATGTGAGCACGGCCTTTCCTTCTTCCTTTACCTCGGCCTTTTCCTTTTCTTGATCTGAAGAACCTTCGTCCTCCTCTGCCTTTTCCTTTTCCTTTTCTCTTTCCTTTACCTTTGCCTCGTCTGATGTATTTGCCTTGGAACCTTCTCTGATACCATGTGAAGTTGGCGTCATCATAAACCCAGAAAACATCTTCTAAAGCATCCAGGAATCCTTCTGCGCCGTCTTCTTCATCTTTGGCCCAATAGCCGTCGGTTCCTTCTAATTCACCTTCATCCAGTACGAGGAAAGATCTTCTCTGTGCCATGCCAGAGGGTTGCATCAATGGATTGTCAACTGCTGTTTTGGTAGTGCAAAACATTTCCAAAAACAGGTCAAGTAGTTCTTGAATGTTGTATCGATCGAGGGTTCGTCCACGATGTGTCATGATACTTGTGAGTGTGTTTCTCTGATCTTGACTCAGGTCAGCTAGACTTACAAAAATCAATGCTAGCAAATTCTCACCCAGTGGGAATGCTTGTCGCTGTACTTGTCTACGATCTTCCTGAAATTGTCTAAATGCCGCTAGTAGTTCCTCTGACCAAGGAACAACTACATGAGGAGCTGCTCCTGAGGCTGCTGCTACTTCAGCTCGTTCTTGTTGATCTCGTTCATGTTCTTGACGTCGTTGCTGAACAAACAGGATTGCTTCAGGACTAGTCACTGTTACTTCTGGAAGTAAATCCATCCAAGACTCAATAAGTCTATTGCCAGTGAGTTGAAATCTAGTCATCCACTTCTGAAGATCCATGGTTCCTCTGTTGAACTTCATGAACTGCATGAAACGGTATAAGAACACGTTCTGGGCACCTTTGATGAAATGAGGTCGTAGAAATCTTTTGAAATAAGCTACTCCTTCATAGGGATCCCTGAGTAATTCTCTATCCAATAGCCTCTTGTATTGTTGAGCATCTCCTTCCAGTCTATTGCGCGACCACGTTTTTCTGGTTCTAACTCCGTAATGTCACACCAGTCATCGATTGCATCCTCAAAAGCAAAGAAGCTGGTTCGCCCATCATAGGCTGGAGCAACCTTTGTGGTCATCTGTTGCGTCATATGAATCTGTGTATGCTGGGGTGCTCTTCTCATTGCATAAGAGTCATATTGGTTCCATTCATTTGCATCGACAATGTCGAAGTCATCATCATCATAGCCATGGCGTGCCATTGCTTGGGCTCTACCTGGAGCTCACCCTCAATGAGGGATCACTGCTCCGCTACCACTTGAAGAGGGGCCCTAGCGTCTACTTCAAGATCAGCTAAGGCGTCTTCCCCAATGACAGCACTCTTTTACCTTCAGCCTGTTGCCGGTCAGTGCTTGTCTACAGGGTTACTCTATATACCTCTTGAGCCTTGAAGGGCGCATATAAATGTGCTCAATACTCATGCATGTACCTATGTAGGTATTAGGTCGAAACAAAAACAGTGGGGGGGGGGGCGTAATTAGGTTCCTTTTTCTGCGTTCGCCTGGACCTTTTTTTTGTAGCTATTTTTATGTTACGCTTGCACGCTGCCTCATCATCTTGCACGCAACACGTCACGCTACGCTTGCACGCTTGGATGACTGCTGGCAAACATCTGGGCATCAAATGCTATCAGGTGTCACACCAGCGAAAAGAGTTTTGCCGCTCTCTCTCCGAAGTTGACCCCAAGCTTTCCAAGAAAGCTGGAACACAAGTCATTGACAGAAAGTGGAAGGCATTGAAAGACTTTTTGCCAAGCAACTACCACCGAAAGATCAATGGCCCACATGGCAGCCAGGTCAACCCTCTGATGAGAAAGGGTGTCTTTCAGTTTTGCTGGCGCAATTCGCTGCAATCGCCCAGCCCAGCACAGTTCTTAAAACACCTGGCAAAGTTGCAATGCAAAAAAAAATGTAGCGGCGTTAGTTTTCAGGATGATGAAAAATTGCCACCTTTGCCTGACGTCTGATTTCCAATGGGCAGAATACCTGGATAATGGTTTCGTAACCAGGCGACTCATGGTCCCGTGACCATATAGTGATTAATTAACATTATATATATATAACCCTTTAAAAAAATATATAGATATATAACCTGTTTGTACCCAGTTGGACTGGACAAGGTTATTTTTTGGTGGAAGTGTTCACCCGACCACCACACATTGGATGCTGAAACCACGGAAAAGTAGGGTCAAATGTGGGGTGGTTCCTTGGTGTAAATGTGCTTTCAATGTGTTTGAAGATGGTGACAATTCATTTTTTCAGGTCTACATTCTGGTAAAGACAAAATCACCATTTTTAATAGGTACGGTAAATCAACTATAAAGGGATCATTTTCAATAGCTATGTTAGTCGTTACCAGAGGGTAACATCGGTTTGAGCATCTTGAGCATTGTGGTTACAACAAGGACCGCCTGAAAGTGAGAGTTTAACCAACAGGGGTGGCCGGTTTGCCCGTAAAAAATGATCAAGCCATGGTATATGACTTAAATATCCACCCAATAACACAGTGTGCCTCTCCCCCGTTACAAGCTGGTTTATAATAATCCCCAGTAACTATAGTTGTCGTCAGTACTATAAACCACAGTTTTCGGAGTTATTAACCAACTTAGCTATCGTTTGGGGGCCCCACTATGTAGGGATATAATTAAACCAACGTTTAGAACACTGTTTGGTAAACTACAATAATATAATATAGTATGTGTTTCTTTTTTTAAATATGTTCAAAATGCGGAACCCTCAAGATACACTCGTTTGCCACCACCTTTCCTATTATATCTGGTTGGTGGTTTGGAACATTTTTTCCCCACCTGCCAGGTGAGGGTTGTTAGATTTTATCAGAGTTGTTCTTCTCCTCCTTCTTCTCCTCCTCCTTCTCCTCCACCACTCTGCATCCACTCCCATGTTCACTTCCGCCTTGCCAACTCTTCGCCAAGCTCTTCGCCAACTTCCGCACGCAGTGGGCACTGCTGGACCTCAACTGCAAAGGTCTGAGCGCATTGGGCACCGCTGGACCTCAACCTGGGACCTTCCGAGCTCAGTGAGCACCGCTGGACCTCAACCTGGGACCTCAACCTGGGACCTCAACCTGGGACCCTTCGAGCTCAGTGAACACCGCTGGACCTCAACCTGGGACCCTCCGAGCTCAGTGAGCACCGCTGGACCTCAACGGCCAGATAGAATGCCAGAAGATATGCCAGATAGAACGCCAGATAGAATGTCAGAAAGAATGCCAGAAGATATGCCAGGTAGAATGCCAGAAGATACTGTATGCCAGGTAGAATGCCAGAAGATACTGTATGCCAGATAGAATGCCAGAAGATATGCCAGATAAAATGCCAGAAGATATGCCAGATAGAATGCCAGAAGGTATGCCAGATAGAATGTCAGATAGAATGCCAGAAGGTATGCCAGATAAAGTGCCAGAATGTTTGCCAGAACATATGCCAGAAGATTTGCCAGATAGAATGCCAGATAGAATGTCAGAAGATATGCCAGAAGATATGCCAGATAGAATGCCAGAAGATATGCCAGATAAAATGCCAGAAGATATGCCAGGTAAAATGCCAGAAGATTTGCCAGTAACAAAACGTATAGATGCCATGGTGGGGGTAACTTGAAGTAAAGTAATATTCCATATTTTGGGAATAATCATCCCAACAGACTAATATTTTTCAGAGGGGTTGAAGCCACCAACCAGTTAATTACCCTGCCGATGATATACCCATGGGTCTGGAAGATTGGCTATATCCCCGTATATTGTTGACCCGCAACAAGCTATCAACTAACCATCCTTTCGTTCAAGTCGCAGGTATGTTCTGGTGAATAAAGCAAACTGGCGGTTTCCGAAAATTGGGGTACCCCCCAGTCATCCATTTTAGTGGGATTCTCCATGAAATAAACCATCTATTTGGGATACCCCCATTTATTTTTAGTGGGACCATCCAAGTCGGCAATTTTGTTATTCACATTCTAAGAACCCCCTAAAGAAATATGGCAGTTGACTGGCTTCATGTTCTTCTGTACTTTCACAACAGTTGCCACCAGATGTGCCATGGTCAAATTGGGGTGCTGCATCATCCATAGAGATTTCAGCAGCACATCACATACCATGCAACTTGACCAGATAGCACTTAAGGGCCTGACAGTTACCCTCCAGTAATAGCTATGGACAATGCCGGTTTAGTTCGATGAGCTTCCTGTAATGGCACCAAGCGCGGATTGCCTGCGGGAGCTGATGGCGTGCTCCATCCTGGTGGCAAAAGATGTCATAGCTGAAGCCATGGGGAGCGAGGAACTGGTGGATAGCAATGAGCTCCGCGGGATTGTGTCGGACGTGGCGTATCTCCACTTTGGTGTGCAATTTTGTACCCGCTGCACATCAACTACAACATCATTTGTGCGGTGCAGGCGGACCCATTCTCAGCTCTGGACGAAGCTTTGAACAAGCCTGTGTTCGGCTCCGACAATGCCCCAAAACTTGCAGACATCTTGGACAACCAAGTGATCCCAGGAGCCGCGAACGCTGTGTTGTACCAGTTCTCATTCGGGATCAGCGCACTTCGTCGCCGGCATCACTGGTCGCAAGCCGGGCAAGGGCCACCGGAAACTCTCCTAACAGCATTGCGTTGTGTGGATTGAAGTACTTCTCTGGGATCGATTTTGCATGACAAACAGTCAGTTTGCTGAAGTGTAAGCGGTTTTTTTCCTCGCCACCATCAACCCCGAGGAGCCCGCCAGTTGACTGCTAGATTTATATTAGATATCACAGGGCTAGTTAATGGTCAACCCAAGGGTGACATCAACCAACATCAACAAACATTTCACTGGGGAGCTTTCTAGATCATCGGGAGATCAGGGGGGTTTACCCATTTTTCAGGTCGCCTGGATCACTTTCAAGGGCGAGATTTAGCAGCCCTGGTTCGAGCCTACGCATCGCTGGAGGTGGGAAATTGAAGGTGGGATTGAAGTAACGAAGGATTTTTTCATAGGGAAACCCAAGAACAATCCATACAATGTGAGGCCCCCAAGATAGCTAAGTTGGTTTATAACTCCAATAACTATGGTTTATGGTACCTATAACGATAGTTATTGGGCTTATAAACCAACTTGTAACTAGGGGGGCCCGCACTGTATGGATGTCAAGCCGAATGTCTGCATGTCCCCAGCCCGCTGGGTGGCCGGGCCTGGCCTACCTGAATCTAGAGCGCCACCAGATCGACCGCAGAATCGGAGCGCCCATGACCTGGAAACATGAATGAAGGGTGCCCCCAAAAGTAATGGTAATAGCTGTTGACCCATCTCCATCAGATATGACCAGTGGGTAATTATCAACAAAAATAGTGATAACTAGTTCGTTAGTTATAAGTACCATAAACTATAGTGAAATTGGAGTTCTGTTCACTGTTCACCAACTTAGCTATTGTTTGGGGGCCCCACTTTACAAAGAATTGTTTGATATACCCGGCCTGGTAAACGTTAACAGTTTGCGAACTTGAACATGGCCATAGCAATAGTTGATTTACCCATTAATTAATAGCATGGTGATTTTCCATAGTTATGTTAGTTTACCAGAGGGTATCAACCATATACTTCACTATAGATAGGTTTATAAAGTTTATATACCATTAATTGTAGCCCATTAAGTATAGGTTGGTTAACTATAGATATCTACATATATCTACCCCATCGCCAAGTCATAAACCAACTTCGCCATCTATATCCGGAGATCCATTGACCACATTCACAGGCCTTTACCAGGTATAAATAGTTTTAAATGGGATTATCAATCCATATAATATATACAGATACTTTATATACACTGACTTAGTCTGACTTATAACTGGTAAAAGGGCCATGACTGCAGCTGGTTTTGACCCACGGCCATGATGCAACTGACGTTGCTCCTTCGCCTTCAGGTGCTACACGAGGGTCTCTTCCGTTCAGTGGCCAGCGCTGCACAGAAGACGCTGACGAGCTTCAGTTCGCAAGACCTGCAGGACGCTTCCGTGTACAACGGGTTTCCAGAGCGGAAAAATGGAACCCATGGGAACCCACAATCCTGTAAGAAATGGTGGTTTAAACAGCAAACGTGTGGAAACGTTAGGGGATTATATATATATAATTATATACATGAATATATTGTGCAGCATGCGGATGGTTCTCAGGGTTGCTTCAGCCCCTTATAGGAAAATGATAGCCACCACAGGGGGAAACTTGGTCATTTTGCCTTAAGAACTACCTTGTTATCCTGTCAGGTGTTGGGAGCAACTGTGTCCGGTTAAACCATTGTTTGATGGGTGAATTGATTAGCGCTTGGACAGAGACTTTTTGTTTTGGAGGGTATCCAAGATCGGACACGAGTTATTTGCCATTTGACTTTCTTTCGAAAAAAGAGGCCGAGCCATATGTGGTGTTGTTTCCCACTGTTTGACCAAAGGCAACATTAATGTGCTCACCAGCTGTCAGTGCCCAACAGAATGCTGCTAATAACAGATATCATCCTGTAGATAGAACTGCTTGGTGCTTTGGCAGCTGGGATGATTTTAGTTAATTTTAAGAAGTTGAACAAACATTAACCGTTGGGAACCGCCAGGAACCCATTGAGATTGCCGAAATTGCATAGACACTGGAGCCACCAAAGGGCTCAAGAGTACAGAAACTTCGATCCGAGTTGAGGTCGCCGGCCCATGCCGGCCGTAAGGGCATTTTCTTTTGGTGTTGGGCAGCAGTGACATTTGATCGTTCACCGAGATGACAGCGATGTCAACATGGCTAGACTGGAGCTCATCAGCTCGTTTTCAACGCAAGGCACATGACATCGGACCTGTGCAATTTCACATATATTCTTGTCCCGCATACAGTCTGAGTTTGATGCAGGCGGAAGGTCTCAAAGGGGCTTCGATGTTTTTTTTGCGCTCGTGACGTTTCTTTTCTGTCCCAGATTTTTTTTCCAGTGAAACACGTGTTTTTGTTCGAACAGTTGAAAAACATCTGATTGGTGGTTTGGAACCTTTTCTTTTTTTCCATATATTAGGGAATTTCATAATCCCAACTGACTAACATTTTTCAGAGGGGTTGAAACCACCAACCAGAACATGGTTTCCTTCCTTTTATTTAGTTCCCCCAGAAAAAGACTTCTTGGATATGCATCCCAATAAGCGAGTGGCAATACAGTCCACATAAATCTGGATTGTAACAGTTTAGGCCCTTTACCAGTTATAAGTACTTATAACCCCATTTGTAGAATGTATATAACCAGTTATAACTAATCAATGGCCATAACTGAACAATATATAACCAATGGCTATTAATCATAGCCATTGTGTGATGCTCAGACCGACAGATGACCAGGTAATTGTTGGTCTTTGCCATTCAAAAGATCTGCAATTATTGTCTGGTTGGTGGCTTGGAACATTTTTTATATTTCCATAGATTGGGAATAGTCATATTTTTCAGAGGGGTAGGTACAGTATACCACCAACCAGTTGTCCATAATATGTTTAGTGGGCTTAAATCCCGAGTTTCTGTTCCATTGTTCACTTGAAGAGTCCCACGCATTTTTGAATGGATTGCGGTAGGGTAGATACGAGTCACAAAGGAACTTGGTCGTTGTTCACCGTATGGGCCCTGGTGAGCAGAAGAGCTGCAGCTTTAATGGATGTCCATCTCCCAGCTGTTGGAGATATATATATATATATTATATACAATGTGGGGCCCCCAGTAATTTGAACGTTAGTTTATAATCCCCATTACAGTTAATTTTGTACCATAACCCACAGTTATTGGAGTTATGTTCACCAACTTAGCTATTTTTTGTGGGCCCCACATAGTATAAATGGGGTTTTCTAAGTACTTATAAGTGGTATAACGTAACCTGAATGCGGCCTTAGTCATGGGAGATCCCCTTCAGGGGGCCACACATAGTATAATATGGTAAACGCTATTGATCCATACAAAGTGGGGACCCCGTGGCCACGAAATCGCTAAGTTGGGGTTCACATAACTCCAATAACTATAGTTTATGGTACTTATAACGAACTAGTTGTTGAGGCTTATAAACCAACTTATAACGTTTGGGGGCCCTACATTGTAGTGAATGCGACCCGAGATTTCCAGTAATTTCTTGTTGGATGAAACCGAAAAACCAAAGATTTCTGGAGTGCTTAACGGCTAGTTTCAACTTATGGTGTTACCCTCTGGTAAACATACATATATAGCTATTGAACATGGTTCATGGAAAGTTTACCTTAATTTACCGAACTTAAAATGGACGTTTCCATAGTTGTTTGTATGTTTACCAGAGGGTTTCATGGAAAAGGAGCAGGTTATTCCGTCATTGGTTATCAATGGCAGAACCCATGATTCCAACCATGGATTTTCCGATTATCGAAAACATCCAATTTGAATCCATCATTTTTCCTGGACTCCCTACAGTTAAGGCCCTTTACCAATTATAAGTACTAAGAAAGTCCCATTTATAGAATGTATCATCCCATAGAAATAACCAGTTATAACTAATAAATGGCCATAAGTGTAGAGTTATGGGCATGTCTATTAGTGAACTAACTGGTTATTTCTATGGGATAATATATACATTCTATAATGGTTAATGGATGGTTATTCCCCCAGTATGGGAACTTCATAGGTAACAAACGACATTACCCATCCCCATATAATTACAGGACAATTCTATGGGATAATATATACATTCTATTTTAATGGGCTTTTGTTACTACTTATAACTGGTATAACTCAGGCCTTTAACCCCTCTGATTCGGGGGACTACACCCCCTCCATTTTCGAAGTTGGCCGGCAGAACCTCTCCTGGGCTTACGCTTTGGCGATGCGCTTTGGCTTGTGGCCAAACCCAGATCTGAGGCTCGGGAGGGTAACCCATTGGATCTGAACTATACTGGGTTTAACTAGAAAACATGTTACATTTTGATGGAAATAATTTGGTTTTAATGCAACAAAAAGCAAGTTCTGGATTCTGGATCAATAAGTATACCAGGACAAATTGAGTTTTTGATGGAAACAAATGGGTTTGAGTTGAGTTTCACCAGCCAACATGGTTATTTAACCAAAAACTACTGTATAGGGCTGAGAGATATATCAGTGAATCTTTGAGTTGGTTTGTCCTTACCATAAATTGGGTGTCTATTTGGTGAGGTATGGCCACAAACCAACCATTTTATGGTGACACGATAATGGGATTTACGACAATATGGGTTGTATAACCAGCATCAACCAAATAACCAAACATTTGACGCATTATGATATTAGGATGTGACTGAACATGTGATATTTATTCTAATTTACAAGCATATGGCACATAGCAATCTAAGACATATTCATACTGAGCTGAAAATGAGCTTGTTGGGTATTAGAGGTAAATTTTGCTATATGACTGTTGGTCAGCATGCGTTGATAAGCAAATATTGCATATGGCAACAAACAAAACACACTTTGTTGATGCGTTTTCTTTAAAACTGGGTCTTGTGTTGTTTTCCTTTGCCATGGATTATCTCAGTGTAAATGACCGTAAACAAACTACCAGATGGACCGCAACCACCTTCTTTTGTTCATTATCCCTGCATTATTGTTTGTTGATGTGTATATATTCCATATGTATATATATATATCTATATACGTATAAATATGTGTATATATATAATGACACAAACAGTTATCACCCCTGTTATATCCTTTGATATTGTTTAGTATCCACATATTTTCTTGGATTGTGTTGATTGATTCTTAACCCCGTGTATCATGAATGTTCCCAGAACACTATCCGCGGTTGCCATATTTGTTGGTGAAGTCCCAATGTTTCTTTGTCACGTTCCATGTTTACCATTTAGTTATGACTAACATAGC